GGCCTGCACCTGCGCCCACCCCCGCGGGACGCTGCGGGCAGCAGAGCCGGAGACGCAGGGAGCGGTAACACGAGATGGGGCTGTGCAGGCGGCCCTGCCCCCAGGCCGGCCTCTGCCGAGCTCCTGCGGCACGGGCGGGCGGCCCCCCACACCCTCCGGAGCCCAGGGCTGGCACCCCCCTCCCTGCCGCGGATGCCGACACCCCTGCGCGGGGGCGGTGAGCGGATGGCAGGCTTATCACCCGCCGCCTGCTCAGCGGCCTCTGCAGAGCCCCGCGGACCCCTCTGGAGACAGCTACTCCAGGTCACATACCCCAAGGGTGGCCATTGCCTGGCTGTGTGACCTTGGGCGCGTTGATCAACCTCTCTGAACACAGGCTGCCTGGCCCGGGGAAATGAGTGGCCCCAGCCTGCCTGTCCTGGCAGGGTGGGTGGGATCTGGGCTGCAGCCCGGCTTAGCACGGCGTGGGCTGGCACAAGCTGAACACAGGAGCACCCTGAATCACAGGACCTGCGTTGGGGCTCCAGCCGCCCTCCCCCGGCTCACCCACTGCCAGCTCCGGGACTCGGTCCTTTCTTTGCAGACCCAGCGCCTAGCCTGGGTCAGGGGCATAGCCCGGGACCCTTGAGTAATAGGCCCAAACAGGGCCTCCCGGCAGGCTGTAAACACAGCCTTGGGGGGGAGGCTTGAGGAACCCCCTGACATTGCCCATCACCTCCGGTGGGCAGGAACATTTCCTGGGGAGAGCGCCTGGAGTTTTCAGCAGGGGTTGGCTGCCCCAGGAGCTTCGTGAAAGGGGCAGGCCCTGCCCTAAGCCCACCCCTGTCCCATCACCAGGCCAAGGTATCCCTTCCTGCCTCCTGGCTCAGGTGGGACCCCCAAGAACAGGAACACTTCAGGACTGTCCACCTAAGGCGATGCTGTGAATGCACGGTGCACAGCCCTCGAGGCGCCCAGGCCACCGGGGGAGAGGCCTAGGCTGTGTGATGTGACAGATAAGGTGACCTGCGAGTCAGGGAAGGAAGACTTCCTGGAGGAGGCACGCCTAAGCTGAAACCTTCAAGGTCTCATCTCCCCTGGATTCCCGCACTGGCCTCCAGTCGTCAGCCCCCGGGGCCTGGCCCCGCTGGTCTTCATCCTTGTGGCCAGCAGCGCGAACTCTGCTAGCCACTTCCTGCTTCAGGGGCTTTGTACTTCGGCGCCGAGCTGAAACGTGAGGCTTCTCTAGCATCTGTGTAAAGCGGTCCCCATTCCTCTATCTCACACCCCTGCTTTACTTTGTCCAGAACTCAGCTTATTGAAAAGTCATCACTGTCCACTCTTACCTGGAAGGTCAGCTCCAGGCCGGAAGGAGCCTCGTCCATCTTGTCTCGCTCGCCGCCTTGTCTTCAGGGTCTGTGCATAGCATGTGCTCAAAGCGCTCGCTGGCACCGTTAGGGGCTGGCGGGAAAGCAAGCCTTCCTGGCCTCGGGCACGGGGAGGCCCGAGGGGCGCGGATGCCCCCGAAGCTGCTGTTCTAGCTGGCCTGGAATGCACTCCACGTAAGTTTCCCTGGCCCCGCGAGTCAGGAGCACTCTGTCCCCACCTTACTGACCGGTTACTGACCAGATAACCATGGGGCAGCTTTAGGAAGGCTGTCCCAGGAAAGGGTGGCCCCACGCAAGCCCCAGACCCTCCCCAAGGGCAGTCGCCTGCTCCCCTCCCCCTCTCTGATATTTGATCTGTGCCTTCAAGAATGGGCTTGCTGCGCCAGGCCAGTGGAGGAGAAGGGGAGAGGGCAGTCAGGCTGAGGGGCCCAGGCAGGCTGAGCAGCCGCAGGAGCCGAAATACCTGCATCGGACAGTCCAGAGTGACAGGTAGTGCAGCAGGCCCGCGTGGCCTCGCACGGCCAGGTCAGGAGTGCGGTCTCTCCTGCGCCCGGGGCCAGCCCGGTGTGGGAGCAGCCGGGCAGCGTGCAGGGCAGGCAGCGAGCCCGGGGACAGTTCGCAGAGGCCGCTCTGGGCAGCCTGAAGGGATGGGGGTGTGGGAGTGGGAGGAGCGCAGCCTGGCATTCTCTTCTATCCCTCTAGCCCCTGTGGGCAGCCCCAGGAGACCCCAACTCTCACATGCCATCTCCCTTCTTTTTCAGAGTCATCCGGTGAGGACTGGCAGTTGCGGGCCCTGGGCCCGGGCATCAGAGAGGACCATGGCCCCCAGCCCACGGGCACGCACACGTGGCCTGCCGCTGCTGCTGCTGCTGCTGCCGCTGGCGCTGGGCACCAGCCCTGCCCTGGGCAGGCTGCCCAGGCCCCTTGAGGACTCAGAGCCACACCTGACCCCAGGAGTCCATCCCCAGGGTGCTGCTGGCGCTGAAGCCCAAGGCTTCGACTTCGTCTGGGAGAAGCCCAGGGCTGGGAGCCCCTGGAGCTCAGACGACCCCCGGGTGTCTGGGGAAGGGGTGCCTGAGCGGGCCGCACACGCTCCCCCTGGCCCAGCCCTGCATGGCCCTAAAGCGGCGCACGGGGCTCCGAGAGAAGCACTCCCAGGGACCGACGACCTCCAGATGGCTCGCGGGCCCGGTTCTCAGGGGTGGACTGGACCTCCTGATGCACAGGAGCCTCTGGGACAAGAAGCACCAGGCCCTCCCCCAGTGGGGACCCCCCACCTCACCTTCATTCCAACTCCCAAACTCCAGCTGGAGGGAGCCACGGCTCCTCCCTCCCCGCAGGGGTCTGCAGGCCGAGCGGGACAGCGGCCATCTGGAGAGGAGGCCGGGCTCCCAGAGGCAGCGCCCTCGGCACCCCAGGGCCCCGCCCGCACTGGCATGCTCCCCCCAGGCGCCACGCAGAGACCTGCGCTGGACGCTGGGGGTGCCGGAGGGGAGGACTTCCAGGAGGCGGCCCGAGGCCCTGTCCTCACCCGGCAGGACCCAGCAGCCCCCGGTGTCCACTCGGCATCCCCAGCTGAGGTGGTGCCCTCTGGGGAGTCTGAGGCCCAACCAGACATGACTCTGACCAGAAGCCTTCCCCCTGCTGACGAGCTGCCCGTCGAATCCCCCACGAAGGCTGGAGCTGGGGAGACCTGGGGAGACAGTTCTCCACGCCCCTCGCCCCCGCAGGCTGACCTCCCTGATGTCGAGGGCTCGCCGGGACCCCAGCCCACCACCCCGCCAGCCTCAGAGGCTCCTGGTAGGTACCCCGGGGAGGTGTGAGCGGGCTGCTCCAGGCTGGCTCCAGGGTGACAGCCCGATGCCCCAGTATCAGGGCTCCCGCTGGGCCCCCCTTGCCACATTCCCATGGGCGAGGGTGACGGTGCCGCCCTCCTGGGGATTGGGCTGTGGAGACGCCGGAGGGTCAGGCGAGGCAAGGACGACGCTCGTCATTTCAGAGATCGCGGCCATTAATGGAGTGGACCCCGTCTCCCCGCAGCGGGTGCGAGGGGCGGTGGAGAACCCCGGGACCCCCAAGTCTCTCATCCCTGACCTGCTGGACTTTCGCCCAGTGACCAACCAAACAGAGAGCCCCGCGGGGGCCCTGCAGCCAGGTGAGCCAGGGCTTGGGGAGGGGGTGCGGCAAGAGCCTGTGCCAGGCGCCTGTGGGGAGAGGGGACAGATAGCCCCGCACCCCAGGGTAGCTGGCCAGGACCTCCTTTACACAAACAGGCTGAAAGCCGCACTCGCAGGTTACACTGGGAGAACCATTTGCCCTCTGGGGCTGGAATGTTCTGGCACAGGGCAGGAACCCAGCCCGTGCCTCCAGCGCCACGCCCACCCCAAGAAGTAGTTTCCCCTGGTCCTGGGGTGGGCTGCCCGGAGGGCTGCCGCTTCCTCAGGAAGGGGGCCCGCGCCTCTTTCAGCACTCACTTGTGCACTTTCCATCCTCACAAGCCGAGGAGCTGCCTGCTGTTGCCGCCCCACTTTCCAGATGTGCTGGGAGGCCTCAGGAACAGCCGGTGGGAGGCACTCGCCAGGCTGCCTGACACTGTTGTCGTTGCAGATGAAACCGAGGAGTGGCCTGGCCGCCCCCAGAGCCATCCCCCGGCACCGCCAGTCCAGGCTCCCTCAACCTCTCGCCGCGGCCTCATCCGGGTCACCACGCAGCGCGCCCTGGGCCAGCCGCCCCCGCCGGAGCCC